GGTGGTCCGAGAATCAACAAGCCCGGACGAGCCTTCCGACTGAAAAAGACCCCAACACATCGCTTGGCCTGGCCATAACCCGTTACAATACGGCAGAGCTCAAGTATAAACGCGTCACATGACACTCAACATCGAGTGAAAAAAATGTTTATTTTAGTACTAAGCCACGCTACAAGCTTAAGTGGGCCCAAGCCACGTAAATATCTGGAGCTTGCTGAGTGGGTTGTGGTATGGATGGTTACAAGTGTTCATGAGGCCCAATGATGGTCTAAGAAGTGGAAGTTTTGGGCTGCTTGGGAGCACCAAACTCAGGCCAATTTCTTGAGCCCAAATATATGGGTAAGCATAAGAGAGAAAAATAGCTTAGCCCCTTAGAAAATATCTAGTATCCAAAACCTTAGAGAATATCTAGCACCTTCAAAATACCCCAACACCCTATTAAAACTTTTTGAAACCAAGCCATCGTTAAAACCAAGTGAAACCCATGTGCACAGGCTACTGGAAGTAAGACACCTTTTAGACCAGCACCCTTACCTATTCTTTCCTCTGCAAGCTTTGGTAGGAAAACAAGGAGGAAAAGGAAAAGGCGCCTCACCCAGGATGGAAGGAGTCAGCTGCAGGAAAACCTTGGAGCCCCAAAAAGCTTTGCCCTAGTGTGCTTAGATTAAGGAATTTTCACCAAAGAGGATTGAATCGAAGAAAGTGAAGAGAAATGGAGGAGAAAACTTTGCAAAATTTGGGGAAAGCCAGCTAGGGTTCCTGGGCCAGCAAAGGCTTCCAACGCCTACAAAAGGAGGCACCTCCTACCCAGCAAAACAACCATCCAGAGCACGACCAAGCAATCGTCAAGCTGTTGGAAAATCTACTCAAGCCACCCATTCTTTTATCCCCATATCTCCCTCTCTTCCCTAATCAAATCTTCCCAAATTTCCCTCCCCACTTTCTTTGAACCTTTGTTTCCCATAAGAAATCCAACCTCTCTCTCTCTCTCTCTCTCTCTCTCTCTCTCTCTCTCTCTCTATTGCTAAACTCATGGAGGCTTAGCTCCCATGCCACAAGCTCCTTAGGCCAAGCCAAAATATTGATTTGTAACAAGTTGTTTGTCTTGTTGGTGAAAGGAATCAAAGTGCTTCTTAAGGCTCCACGAACTTTTCGAAGCACTCTTGGGGCATGATTCTTGAACTTAGGCACATGGGCAACTTCATCCATTTGCTCTTTACAGTAGCCCAGGCCTATTTACAGTAGCCCAGGCCTATTTACAGTTGTTGGAACAAAAAAGCCCCTATAACATGCATAAAATGAAAGCCCCCCCTTTCTCATTAAGGATATTTGTACAATTCCGCATATTTTCATATAATTTTAAAGGATTTTGGATTGGGAATCCCGCATATAGTTTGCCAAATAGAGAACTTTCCTTTTTCCCCGTATGAAATCCCAACTTTTTTGCCTTCGTCTAAACACATTGTTAATGAATTTCTCTTTTCGACAAAAAATAGCAAGTGATATTGTATCACACAATAATAATAATTTCTAATTATCACAAGATTATTAAATTATTTTGAGTGTATAGAATCTTTAATTTATTATTACAAGTGTTGCAGAAAAATGTTGAAAATATAAACAAAATGAATATCTAGAGAGAAACATGATGTCTATATTCTAGAATATATATTAGGAGGGTGCATGGGCTTTTCAGGTTTTTGGGCCGTTGTAAAACACTCTGAAACGGTGTAAATTCTTAGGGAATGCTCTAGTTTTCTTCAACGGTTCTAATCAATAAGAGAAAAATTATGGTAAATCAAGACTTAGCTTGGTTTGTGGTTTGGTAGCTAAGCGCCCATAATTTTAATAAAAGAGAGACAATTGTGGTGCTTGAATCTTAAAACAAAGTATATTGTAGAAATAATTTGGGTGGCGTTTAGAGAATGTGTTTCATCGTGCTGTTCTTAGTTGGTTCTTCTTGGCAATCCATGCCTCCAATCTATAGGCGTTGGGAAGCTCTTTTTCCCCCCCGGATCCCCCAAAGAAACCCTCGCATATTCTTCTCGCTCTTTCTCTTTACCTAAATCTTTTCACTTATTTCTCCTCACTTTCTCCAATCTGATCTTCATTAGTGAAACATTCTTGAAATGTGGTAGGTGCATAGACATTGAAACAAAACATCGTAATTTCCAAAGCCTTCATGCAACTCGACCTTGTAGAGGCTTCCCTCCTTGGCAAAGCTCTGTCTTTGCTTTCCTTTCTCTTTTCCTGCTTCTAGGGTAAAGTATTGTTCAGGCAAAAGGCTAAAGGCTTTCTTTTGCTTGCTAGTTATATCCAGGCAAGTTGAGTTTTAATAACTCCAACTTGAATTTTCGACAAGGCTGGTTCGTTCTTAAAGGGGGTTATGAGAATTCTCTGTCGCTCATCCATGTAGTTGGGCTCAAGAAAATGGGCTTAAATTTTAGTGCCCCAAATATCCCAAAACCTCTACCTTTTGAACCCAAAATGGGCCGTTTGGACCCTTGTAACCATACACAACACAACCAGCTTGGTATGCCCTGGGTGCTTATAAGAATTGCGGCCACTTAAACTTATCGGGTGTTTTCATAAATTTCTTTAAAAAAAAAAAAAAACTTATCAAAAAAGACTTATCGGGTGATTTAGCAGCAGAAACCCTAATCATATAGCCTCATTAGTCTCACTAGTACGAATATCAAAGCTTACAGAATTATATTTTCACTTCACATAAAAGATAACAACCTAATTAATGATAAGTGAGAAACGAATCGCACAAACATTTTTTCTTAGCGGTTTATTTTTAAACAAATCGAACGATAAGCTGCTGACAAGGACGTTTCTTGGTTTTTCTTTTCTAAAGACGGACGTTCCTTACTTGATAGGGACGTAATGATGTGTAATAATACTATTAATTAATAGTGTATGTTAAAGAAAAGTCAAGTCAAAGGGAAGGTAAACAAAAAATTTAAAAATGTACTAAACAAAGAACAGTCAAGTTAAAGTTAGATAGGGCTTCTCTGTAGGCCCAGTCCCAGATGTAATTTTGTTAGTTGTGTTCGGGCTTAGCCCCCCAAATTCACCAAGAGAAGATTTTATAATATAAAAAAAGTAAAGAGAAGAAAATAATTGATTTTAGAACCAAAGAAAACAAATAATAAAATTGAGAAACTCACAATAGATGTGTTGGATATGCGAAATCTTGAGCCATTCTGGGCCGCTGTCTTTATTGCATCTCTCTTTCAGAAGAGGACAATTGTTAATCCATATATCCTGTAATTTGGTGAGACATTTCATAGCTTCAAGTGTAGGAAGATGCATCAGATTCTTGCACCCCCCTATATTTAGGTACCCAAGAGATGCAAGATTTCCCAACCAATTTGGAAGAGCCTTCATGCCGTCAAAGGACGATATTGACAAAGAAGTTAGAGAAGTGAAGCGTTGAACTTGTTCAGGCAGAGAGTTGAGCTTCGGCCAACCCCACAAGGTTAATGTTTCAAGTTGTGGAATAACATGAAAAGCAGGAAATGATTCGAACTCCTTCCAGAACCCACCAATTTTCACTACCTTTAAGCGGGTGAGGGATGCTGGAAATTCACTGGGGGGTACACCTTTTAATCCAACACAGTCATAGATCTCCAACAGATGGAGTTGTGTGAGGTTGTCTAAACTTGGAATAGCTTTGAGATTCCCACAATGCCTTATTGACAAGTGCTTAAGAGAGGTACAATGTTGTAACCCACTCGGTAGGCTTGATAATTCATCACAATTTACAATATCTAATTTGCGGAGGGAAGGCAGGCCGTGTGTTATTGGAATGGATGTTATTTTGGAGCATCCTGTTATTCCCAACACTTGAAGAGAGGTGCAACGTTCTAGCCCCTCAGGTAGAATAGATAATTTATAACAATATGAAATCTCCAATTCACGGAGGGATGCGAGACTGAGTGTAATTGGGATGCACTCCAGAATGGGGCAATCCCTCAACACCATCTCCTCAAGGCGAGAAAACACCACTCTTCTTTCTGTTGTTGGAAATACTGCAGCTTCTTCCGTCCTCCATTCAGTTAGGTTCTTTGCATTTTCAATAGTTAATCTTTTCAATGAAGAAAACAAATCTCCGCACATCATCCAGGGTGGAAATGTATCACCACTAAAGTTGCGAATCTCTAAAATTTCCAATGCAGAGTGCGGTTTAAGGCCTTCTAGTACATCCCTGTCATTATTGATGCCTTCTCGTTGGTAGTTCCATCCAAGCCTTAGTCTGCGTATGTTTGTCTTCTCCGCTAACTTTGCCTCCTTTGCTTCTTCTCCATCTCTCACATGCTCCAGATCATAAATAGATAATTGGCCTTCCAAATGCTTTAAGCCACCCAGCTCTTTTATTTTACGACCTCTCTCCTTACCCACAATGAAAAAGGATAATGATCGGAGATTATTCAACCTCCCCATGCCAACTGGATATTTCATATTATAATACACATACAAGCTCCCCATGCCAACTGGAGAATACGCATACAAGGGATCAAAAGAAACATGTCTCAAGTTGATCAAATTTTGCAGTTCCTTTGGAAACCATATAAGACATAGATGGTGCATTCTTAACGTTTGTAGGTTATAAAGCTTGCCAATAGATTGGGGGAGCCTTTTGATATTTGTTGCTGAAATATCTAGATACCTCAAGTGTTTCAGCTCTCCAATTGAATTTGGCAACTCATCAATTTCAGCCCCCTGTAATTTTAAGACACGCATACCTTTAAATCTTGGTAAGATGTTACCACAAACTTCACGTATCAAAAACATTGAGCGCACTTTATGAGCAGCTCCTTTTGAAATTCCTTCTAGTTTTATCTCTGAAAACTGCGGCACACGTCGAATCTCATTAGAGTCCTGGATCTTTGATTTTGATACAAATTCTGCAAGATCATGCACCAAATCGTGCATCTTGAATGTGGTACTTTTGGTATTAATAGAATAACGAAAGACATCCTCTGGTACTGCAACATCTTGAAAAAGAGAGTTATCCAATAGAATTTTGAAAATTTTATTTCCTACATCCTCCATACTTTCGGTGGGAGAAGGGTAAAGCAATTCTTGAGCCATCCAAAGTTGGATCAAGTCATCCTTTTCAATTGTGAAACCTTTGATGAACATTGAGCAAAAGGCACAGCATTGCTTCAAAGATGATGATTTCAGTTCATCAAAACTCAACATCAAAACCCCCTTTAGTCTTTCTTCTTCTTCTGGTATATCCAATATTGTATTATTTTGAATGGACTGCCATTCATATTCACTCCTTTTGTGCATCATACTTCCCAAGATCTGTTGGCACATGAGTTTGAATCGCAATTAAATGATAACAATAACCACAATATCCAATTCGCATTTTAATAGAACATGACTATATTTCAATGAAAAATAAAGTCATCGACAAACAAATGTAGACAAAGTATTTTTTTTTTAAAGTATGATAATGATAAACAAATCTTTGGTTAAGTTTTTTATTTTATTTTTTAAAAATGGTTAGTAAATTTTTTCTTCTACTTTATTCTTTCAACCATCTCTTCAACTCATTTTTCTTATTTTCCCAATTAATTAAATAAATAAATAAGGTAGACCTCAGTTTTCTTTAAGTACATCTGAATTAATTAAATATAAGATTCATCTTTATTCAACAATATACCTTTGCCAATAATGGTAGACCTGCACACTTTATGGCTATGTCCCTTCCAATTCTTTCCTGATCTTCACTTAAAGTAGCATTCCTGCCTGAAAGCGCTTTATTCTTCAATAGGAGCCAACATTCATCAGCTGATAGCTTTCTCAAATCACGCATAGGAAGCGTCTGAACTATTGATGCAACACGGACACTGCGTGTAGTGACAAGGATGCTGCTTCCTTGAGTATCTTTGATATTTAACAAACAACTCATCAACTCTTCCCATTTGTGAGGATCCTCGTTCCATACATCATCAAGAATGAGGAAATATCGATTCCCTTCCAAAATTTCTTGGATGCTTTCACATATTGCTGCCTTGCCTTTTACCCCAGCCTTTGTCTGGTTAAGATACTCCAAGATCCCGCTTAAAATCGTCTTCACGTCAAAAGGGTTAGATACGCATACCCATATTTTTCTGTTGAAATGGCTGCCTATCTCATTTTCATGATATATTGCTTTAGCCAAAGTGGTCTTTCCTAAGCCTGCCATTCCCACAATAGCCATAACACAAGGACGAGTCTCTCGTTTATTGCTTGAGTTGATTAAGTCTGTAACTATATCTGACACAAGCTCATCCCTTCCGACCATGTTCTTTTCATCCTGATCAAAGCCGGGGACGGTTTCCCTGTCAAGTACTGCTACTCTATTATCATGAGAGGTCGATAACCTTGCAACAAGCCCAATGCCACCTGCCCTATTATTTAAATCCTCCAAAGCAGCGTTGAGCTTCTCAATCTTATGTGCCATTTTGAGGCGGAATGCAATGGGATTGTAGTGGAGTGAAAGGAAGCTGAGCACTTTTTTCATCATTTGGTTTCGCACTTCCACTTGACGGCGGAGAAGTTCATATCCGCATTCATCCAGCACATCATCGGCCTCATGAGCTATGTCTTCAAGCTTGTTCACCCAAATTTGCACGGCTTCTGCCCGAACATCTTTTGATTGCCCGGCATCTCGTAACATGGCTTCAGTCAGCAGCAATGATTCACGCAGCTTTGTCAACTCTCCTTCAAATCCCCATACAAGACTGATTTCTTCAGAGGCAAGTGAAACCACTTTCTTCACTATTTCCTGGACACCGAAAGTAAGGTGTTCTGCCATCTCTCTATCTCTCCTCCTCACTGCTCAATCTAGACAATAAAAGAAAGAACAGATCAATGAATGCTCAACCAGTTGGGAAAACTAGCTAAAACAAGACATATATATATATATATAAGTATTTATAGACAAAGGTGAGATCTGAATCTAAACCTACATACGTTAGTGTAGTGTTGTAATTAAATTAGGCCTAAGTCGATATTAGCTTCGTTTTTCTGATAAATACTCGTAATTAAAGTTGTGGGTTGGCTCATTATTTACATGCAATAATTGCCTGCCATCATTGTGTGGATAGATAGTGGATGGATAGATTTCCTCCATCGTGGCTTAGGCTGCAGCACTAAAAACTACAGAGTCAGAAGAATCTCACTTACGGTGCTGCTATCTCAATTCAAACCAGTCACGCATCGTGAGATATCGCCATATCCATATGACACGCGTGAGATCAAAATGCAAAAATCTCTCATTTAAAATATATATATATATGAAACCAATAACAATATATCGCTTAGCTTCCTCGAGGTTTCTATGTATCTATAGACGAACTTATGTCATAAATAATGTGTATACAGATGGCGTGCTATAATTATATATAGATTTCTCTTTCGTGATCATGACTGACTTACATCAAAACCGACTTGTGATATTTGTCTTTACTTTTTTGTATGGAATCGCATCGGTCACGAGCAATACTTGTTTGTATATTTCCTTTTCAACTCAAAACATAGATTTTTGTGGATAGATTTCCAACTCAAAACTTAGTTTCCAACTCAAAAAATTGTGGATAGATTTCCTCCATCGTGGCATGAGTGACTACCAAGTCATGAGGCAGAAAAAAATCTAATTGGACTTTCACCCTAAACCCTTTCCCATGCCATTTACCAGGAATATTCCTTTTCCATATTTAATTATAAATTCTTTTCACTATTTTCCTCTTAGTTTCCAACTCAAAACATAGATTTTTTTTATGTACGGGGGAGAAAAAGCCTAAATTTTCCTCCATTTTCATAAATGTTAATTTTTATAAATTTTTTATAAAAAATAGCAAAAAAGTCACTTAAATAAACTTAAACGACCTTTAAACTAAAACTCATATAAATTAATAAAAGAAAGTTAGTCAGCCAAATAAAATATATATCCCAGATTCCTGGTCCTCATAGAAGCAACTATAGCTATGGAAGCTCATATTGGTGAAAGCGATGCTGATGATGGTTCATTGATTAAACATTCATGAAATTGCACTTAGTTAAAATGTATATTCTTTGCTACCACGTTAAAATGTCTAATTATTTGAACCAACTTTTTTTTTTTAAATCTTATTTCAACGTTCATCCTTACAAAATTAAACAACACGTAAAATTGTTTCATCCTCATCTAATTCAACAAAAAGAAGATAAAAAATATATAATGTAAGATGTTTATAACAATCCAAGATTTTAGCTGTCACAATTTGAATGAAGATGTGGAATAATATGAAAATTTAATCGAACCATACTCGAAAACACTTGAAAATTAGCCAAGAATGTTCAACAACATAAACTTCAACTTAATTTCATTCAGTTTGCTAGTGTACTGAAATGGTTAAGAGGGACGGCCTAAGATGAAGATCGTTCTTTACAACCATTTCGCATCTCTGGAAACTTACACACATAATTTGGTACCCTGAAACCTTGAATTTATATGTGGAGTTATAAAACAAGATTATTTTTTATTTTTTATTTTTATAAATCATCCCCAGTTCACCAAAAGAAGATAAAAAAAAGTAAAGAGAAGAAAATAATTGATTTCGGAACCAAAGAAAACAAATAAGAAAATAGAAAAACTTACATTTGATGTTTGGAATATGCGAAATCGCGGGCCATTCTGGGCCGCTGTCTTCGTTGCATCATTCTTTTAGAAGAGGACAACGGTATATCAGATTCTTGCACCTCCATATTCTTAGGAACTGAAGAGATGCAAGACTTCCCAACCACTCTGGAAGAGCCTCCATGCCATGAAAGTCGCAGATTGACAAATCATTTCATTGTTGAGAATTCACAATATCCCACTAAATCTGGGATTAGTCAGGAAACTATTTCATTGTTGTAATTTCCAATTGATTCTGTATTTTTACTTACATAAGTTGTACAATTAGACTGCTTAATTGTAGGACGACTTATGTATAAATCCATTTGCTTGGTTAATGAGAAATTCATTCACGCAATTATATTCTTATACCAATTTTACTAGATTACCTCGAGTTTCAATTAAGTGAAGTGTTGAACTTGTCAGGGAGCCTCCATTCCGTCAACCACTCTGGAAGAGCCTCCATGCCATCTCTTATCTATTTTTTCCCCATGCAAATATCCTCTTTTTAACAGGTTGAAGCTCCGATCGTTGTTCTCGCAGTTCTACGAACGATCAAAGAGAACTATGCCTTAGGTATGAACATATTGTTTTAGATGCCTTTATCTTATTTGAGAAGCCATTTATTCAAACATATTTAAGATAGGGTAAAATCAGATTTAAAATACATAAGCAAATGAGAAAAGGAAGAAGAGGCTTAGGATTTCATGCTGATGTTAAGACTTACTGATGGTTACAGGAAATTCCATAAAAGATGACATGCTGATCTCATAGGAGTCCGTGAGGTTGATGGAGGCTCAACCACACAAAATTTAGGGGTGAACAATGCAATAACCAAACTTCTGCAGGATGAATTGGGGCTCAAGGTTCTTGCAACAGGACCTAAAGTTGGACTTGATACTACAATGGAACCAGGAAACACTACTGATTTAGATCAAGATTTAGAAGATATGTCAGGGAGGGATGAACCACCTGCAGAGTTGATTTATTCCACGGGAAGACCCGTGGCTTTAGAAAGGCTAACCAGGGGATCACTGCAACATTGGCTGCTGAGAAGAAGTGCTCCTAGAAGGTGACTGCTTCATCCGTAATTTGTACATGCTACTAAATAATCGATAATTATTTTTATACAAAGGGCAAATGTAAATTATATACAAAGGGCAAATGTAATTTGCACAAGCAATGAAAATAAAGCAATTTTCCTTGTGTTACTTATACTCTTTAAGTTCACAACTGAAATAGGTTTTACCGTTTCCATAATCTGAATAGAAATGCCTAAACAAAGTACAACTAATTTCCAAACTTGCAATCCCCTAAGAAACACAAATTTATCATCCAAGCCGAAACGAAGTCGCAAAATCTTTGTTCTTTCATTTCATTCCTTTTCCTTACAATTGAACAATTCAAAAGATATTACAGCACTTCATAGCCAAATGTGAGTAAATCCATGACTTACTTACCATCACAAAACTTCCACCAAACTCAAGCCATGGCTCATATCCAATCCTGCTCCTGCAGTTTTAGCGGCAAATAAGTCTCTGACAGATATTGAAAGCCGAATGTGCTCAGAGCTTGAATTTCTGCCTTTTGCTTGGTTTTCACCATAAGAGTCAGCTCCTCAACCCATTTCGGGTTTTTCTTCACAAAATCTTCCTCCAACATTTCTTTCCCTGTCTTAATATCCTGATCAGTCATTGTCAACCTACACTGCTCAGGTATCTTGTACTTGTCCAAATCACTGGGCCGTATCCCCAACCATTTTATATCCGGCGTCGTCAAATTCGCACTGTCATACGACATGTT